CCAGGTGAATCTCCTTTCCATCCGGTAGCATGTAGTGCATCGTATGCTCACTGAGAGGGACTTTCTTCTCTTCAGTGGGATCCAGGGCCACAAAGCAGCATTTCTTCTTGATGTCCTCCACGATGCCTATCTGGTCCTGGGTGAATTCATTCCCTGCACTGTTCAGCAGGCCCAGCAGGTAGGCTGTCAGGTCAGAGCCCGCGTAGTTTAGTCTTCTGGTGATGCTGGGCAAAGGATAACCCTCACGGATGGGGACCACATAGGACACGCCATGGCCAACCTCCACCACTAGGCCGGAGGTCCTTCCATAGGAGTACATGGACAGGCGGGACTGATAGGCAATGTGCATTGCAGGGGTGTTGAAGGCTTCAAACAGCATTTCCGCGTACTTTTCTCTGTTGGTGTGTGGGCTCAGCGGTGGGTCTGAAACCAAGACTGCATGCTCCTCCGGGGCAATCTTCATCTCTTGTTGGAAGAGATATTCCCAGATATCCTGCACTGTATCCCAGTCCACAATGATGCCATGTCGCAGAGGATTAACTAGCTTGAGATTAACATTTGTGTTGTTGAGTTCCTGCCCCACGAATGTCTCCTTGCGATTATCCCCAGTCTTAGCGGTCTCCATGTAGGGCTTGCCCACTGTTGTGGAGATCTCGTGGGTGGGTCTTGGCAGTCCGGCAAAGCCACATTTACAATAGCCAGTGCCCAGGTCCACAACCACTGCTTTGGTCACCACCTTCTTGGGCCTCTCCGTGGCTGCCTTTGATTCAGTAGGTTCTTGTGGCTCTGAACTACGGCCAACCCACACGGCCCGCTTCACTGGGCCATCCCTTAAGGAGGCAGTCTGGAGGGCCTGTGTCTGCCCGGCGGCCTGGTTACCGACCGTCTTGGCAGGCCCATCCCGTATGAGTGCTGCCAGTGGAGCCCACATGTTGTCAAGAGCCGTACCACTCTCAGAAAAGTTCCTCAATCTCCCTGGATTCAAGGCTGAAAGACCTAAATCAGAGAATGCCATGAGAGTTTTCCCAACAATGACATCACTAATTATGATGTAATCTGATGACCTGGCTTTTCTAGATACTGGAAACCTTTATCCTGTGTTAAGGTACATTTGGGATATTGTTTTTGAAATGGCTCCCCTTTTTCTAAATTTTCTAACAAGTCTGATTTATTCAGTTAATTAATATTGAGTGCCTGCTATATACAAGGCAGCTGGGAATTCAGTGGTGAAAAAAATAGACAAAAATCTCTTTTTCTAGTTGGTGGGGGTTGGGGGTGACAGGCAATAACCAAAATGAGCGTTAAGAGCAAAAGCAGGGTGGCAGTGCTAGTGTGGTCTGAGCAGGGCTTCCTGAGAGGGTGGTGTTTGAATGAAGACCTGCAGGGGGAAGGGAGAGAGCCATGTGGATGTCTGGGAGCAGCAGGTGCAGAGGACTGGAGGCAGATGTGTGACTGAAGAGTTAGAGCAGGGGTCAGCAGGCTGCAGTCCAATCCAGTCTCTGGCTTGTTGGATATCACTTTATTGGAACACAGCCACACTCATTCATTTGCCTATGAATGGCCATGACAGCCATGGCTGCCTTTGCAGTACAACAGTAGAGCTGAGTCATGCCATTGAAGACAGTATTGCCCAAAAAACTGAATGAAAGTAGATATTGACCCTTAAAAGTTTGCCGACCTCCTGAGTTAGAGGAGGAGCAAGAAGACAGTTGTGGCTGGTATGGAAGGAGTAAGGAAAAGCAGAAGTCGGATTAGTAAGGAGTGGGGGAAGGCGAGCAGCTCATGGTAGGCCTCATAGGCCAATGTGAGGACCATGGATAAGGTCAGAAAGCACTAGAGGATTTGGCACAGAGCACTGACACCATCTGATGTAGATGTTAGTGGGATCCTTTGCTGCTCTGGTGACTATGTCAAGGGCACTAAGGGTGACACTTAAAACACCTTAAGAGGAATTATTTTTGGATATACATTTGTATACCTACTGTGCCTTCATCAGGGTCATTGGGTAGGCAGTGAAATTAGACCCTACAAAGTCCCACTGACAACATTAAGGCTCGTAGGTGCATAGCTCACCTAAAGATACCCAATCAGGAGTAGCCAAGCTCTCCTGACTGCGGCTTCCTCCCCAGAATGTGCTGGGACACAGCTTGATGGGACCTAGCCTGCATCTCTTAGGCCGCTTGGCCACCATCTGTCATGCCATTTCCGAAGCTGGACACATTGATGCGGATGCCTGCCACACTCAGGGCAGAATCCAACCTTATGTTATGCCACACCTTGAACCTGATCCCAGCCCTTCATAAAAGAGGCAGTCACCACAATTAGGGGCTTTCTCCTTTAGAGAGGCTACAGGGGTGCTCTCAGTTCCTTGTTGGGTATAAAAAAAGTAAAGGACCAAGTCCAGTCTCATGAGGTTTGTGACTGTCTGATGGGGGCAGCGAGGTGTCATCCCAAGGACAAAAATCTCAGTTTCTTGGTCAGTGGATGAGATAATGGCATGGAATTTTGAAGGAAAAACAGGAAAGTACTTTTGATGCCTGGCTGCCTGGAAAATAGTGTAATTGCCTCTGCTGTTCAGGGATTTGCATGGCCAACTCAGATTGTTTGACTTTGTTTCAAAAGTTGTGTCTATGGTAACCAAAGGCATATGTAATTTAGAGTCCTCTATTTCTTTCTCCCCAAACTCCTACTTGAATTTTGAGAAATCTGTAGCTGCTTGGTACCTTTTCATTAACCTGGACTCTAGAGGAGCCTAGATTAGCTTCCTGTTTCTGCTATAACAAATTACCATGGATTTAGTGACTTAAAACAACTCACAGCTGTTATCTTACTATTTTGGAGGTCAGAAGTTTACAATTCTTAGTGGGCTACAATTAAGGTTCTTTCAGGGCTGTGCTCCTTCTGGAAGTATAGGAACAATACTTCCCCTTGCCTTCTCCAGCTCCTAGAGGCCACCTGTGTTTCTTGGCTCACAGTCACTTCCTCTACCTTGAAAGACCTCAGACTACAGCTACCATTGCCACATCTATCTCTCTGCCCTTGACCCTCCTGTGCCCCCCATATAAGGATTACATTGGCCCCACTCCCACAGTACAGGATAATCTCCCCATCTCAAATTCCTTCATTTAATCACATCCACAGAATCCCTTTTGGTATGAAAGTTAACACATTCACAGGTCCCAGGGATTAAGATGTGGACACCTTTGGAGAACCCTTTCGCCTGACCTGTGCCTTCCACTTCCAGGCCTGACAGGCTCTGACTCATTTGCTCTTCCTAGGCTGCCCTGGCCTGCCCATCTGTCATCTGTCATTGCCCTTTCTGCATTTGTGTGCTATTTTAAAGAGAGCAGGGGTATGAGCTGGAGTGGTGGGGTGGGTAGTTTGGTGAGAGAGATGGTTACAGCTGATTAGAACTGGTGGGAAAGTTGTTTACCAAAACTAGAGGCAAGGGGGTTCAGAGAACTAGGAAATTAAACTTTAAAATGGAGAATTAAAGAATAAGAGAGCTGAAGATACTGACACACTGATTCTTTGAAGAGAAACTTGGAGTTCACTATATCTAACACCTTATCTGACTTTTTAATTTTTGGACTGGGAATGGCAGCTTAAGTTGGAGGTCCCTATGGCACTCTAGTGAATTTTTCCTTTCTGGATAATAGTCCATCTTTCTTTGTTTGGGCACAGGTCCTTACCTTACCCAAGGCATTCATCCTTCCCTCTGCCTCACATCCCACATCACAAGAGTCCATCAGGGAAAGCCTCAAATGCCAGAGTAAGAGCTCGGATTGAAGTGAGGGATGCTTGGGGAAACAACAGATAGGGTTCTCTTCTACTTTCTAAACTTCTCTAGAACCAGCCTCTTCCTCTCTTCCACACTCTCACAGCCCTAGGTCATGCTCCCTTCAAGTCTTATCAGAATTTCTCCAATGACCTCGTTTCAGGTCTCAGCTTCTAGTCTAGCTTCTCCCACCCATTCTCTACATTACAGCCAAATGCAGATCTTTCTAACATTTTTCTAGAGGGCAAATCGGATCATCTCCCTGCCTAAAGTCGTCACAGGTTCTCTGGCTCTCCTCAATGTAGTCTAAACCTGCTTCTGGCATTTGATGCCCTCCCTGTTTGGCTCTGTGACTTCTCTAGCTTCATCTGTTTTTCCAGACACTTTCACTGTGTCAAGTTGTGCCTTCTGCCTGGGACATCTTCCCTCCTCTTAACTACTTCACAAATACCTACACCTCTTCCAGGACTCACCTTGAGCATCACCTCCTCTCTCTAGAGCACCTTCTGACTCGCTGTGTCAAATGAGTTCTCAAGTAGACTTCTTCCCGCAAACCCATCTGCATCTACTCCATATTCTTACCCAGACTGGGCACTACTGGTGGCCTGGGTTTTTATCATCTATCACTGGTAGGCTGCACTGGGCAGAACCTACTACATGCCCCAGTAAATGCTGAAAGAAGGGAGGAAAAAACTCTTGGGGCCATTAAGAAGGCCTGGTGCACTGGAGTTTGATGAATTTGGGTTAAGGTACAAACACCCCAAGTGCTATTTGCTCTGGGACAAGACCTTAGAATTCTGAGCCTCGTTTCCTCAGCTCTGCCTACCTGCAGAACAACGTAAGTGAAGTACCTGGTACAGTGCCTACCTTACTGGAGGGGCTCAAATATTTAGGCCTTCTCCACCAAGAAGCAGAGGAGGAAAGGTGTCCAGTAGTGAACAGGTTAGGCATGGAAATGCAAGGGGCTAAGCAGAAACCTCTGAGACCCCAGTGAGCTTGGATGTCTAAAACTGCCAGCCACCTGCTGGCGCACAGGACAGAGCAAGTGGCACTGAGAGTAAGAGAGATGGGGTTGGGGGTGACAGGTTAAGAGCCGGCCCAAGCCACGCCCTCCCCTGCTACCTGAATGGACCAGCCCAGAGTGACATCACAATCCCTGGTGGTTGCCACGGCACTGCTGGAGGTGAGCTCTCATTTCTCCCCAGGGAGCTCTAGGCTGTGGATGTGAGAAGGGGTGCTAGGAAGGCAGATGGCGGCAAGGAACAGCCTTAGCCCCATGCCCCTGGGCACGGCTCAGGGTGACCCCGGAGAGGCGGGAACGCTGCCAGGCCCTGATGCCGGCCTCCGGGACACAGGTGCGGCCACTCAGCTCAAGATGAAGCCCAGGAAGGTGCACAAAATCAAGGCGATCATCATCGACCTGGGCTCCCAGTACTGCAAGTGCGGCTATGCGGGAGAGCCGAGGCCCACCTACTTCATCTCCTCCACCGTGGGCAAACGCTGCCCCGAGGCGGCCGACGCCGGTGACACCCGCAAGGAGACCTTGGTGGGCCATGAGCTGCTGAGCACAGAGGTGCCTCTCGAGCTGGTGAACCCGCTGAAGCACGGCGTCGTGGTGGACTGGGACTGCGTGCAGGACATCTGGGAGTACATCTTCCACACGGCCATGAAGATTGTCCCCGAGGAGCACGCCGTGCTGGTCTCGGACCCTCCGCTCAGCCCCAGCAGCAACCGGGAGAAGTACGCTGAGCTCATGTTCGAGGCCTTCGGCATCCCCGCCATGCACGTGACGTCCCAGTCGCTGCTGTCCATCTACTCGTACGGCAAGACCTCGGGGCTCGTGGTGGAGAGCGGTCACGGCGTCTCGCACGTGGTGCCCATCTCCGAGGGCGACGTGCTGCCGGGCCTGACCAGCCGCGCCGACTACGCTGGGGGTGACCTCACCAACTACCTGATGCAGCTGCTCAATGAGGCGGGCCACGCATTCACGGACGACCACCTGCACATCATAGAGCACATCAAAAAGAAGTGCTGCTTTGCTGCCTTGCTTCCTGAGGAGGAGCTCGCACTGCTCCCGGAGGAGCTGCGCGTGGACTACGAGCTCCCAGACGGCAAGCTCATCACCATCCGCCAGGAGCGTTTCCGCTGCTCCGAGATGCTATTCAAGCCCTCCCTGGTGGGCAGCACCCAGCCTGGCCTCCCGGAGCTCACGGCCGCCTGCCTGGGCCGCTGCCAGGACACGGGCTTCAAGGAGGCGATGGTCGCCAATGTGCTGCTGTGTGGCGGCTGCACCATGCTGGATGGCTTCCCCGAGCGCTTCCAGCGGGAGCTGAGCCTCCTCTGCCCTGGGGAAAGCCCTGCGGTGGCTGCCAGTCCCCAGAGGAAGATCTCTGTGTGGACCGGCGGCTCCATCCTGGCCTCCCTGCAGGCCTTCCAACAGCTCTGGGTCAGCAAGGAAGAGTTTCAGGAGCGGGGCAGCATGGCCATCTACAGCAAGTGCTGAGCCTCCGCCTCACCACAGACAAGGCCTGTGGCACAGGGGGGGCCACAGGCAGCTCTATACACATTTACAGAATTTCACATAAAGCTTTACTCTGCAATGGTGCTTGTCTAGTCTGTGTTTCTTGCTTCAATCTGAAAGCAGAGGGTGGTGGGGAGCTGGGCTTAGAAGTGGCAGCATCTTTTGCTCTAGGGGTTGGGCTGTAAGGAAGGGGACTATCATACTGATCCTACCCCCTCTGCCTGCCTCATGATGGTGACATCATCTCAGGGCCTAGAAAGTGGCCTTCTGTTTCATTAGCACCTCTAGGTTCAAAACCTGATCCGACAGACACTCTTCATCACTGGCTGAACTAAGAGGGTTGGCTTGGGGACTAGCTTGGGTCATCTGGTGGTGGGTCGGACGAGATGCACAGCTGGGTGTCCCGCTCCAGTCTCCTGTTGCTGCTGCTCACAAGTGCTCATAACCTTAACACTGCTTGATCACTCCAGGTCCCCTAATCTCCCCCTACTGCCCACCAGCCTCAGTGTGGAGACCACGGCTGTGCCAGCGCATCTCCTGAGTGTGAAGCACCATTTCTATCCATCTGTAGGCGTACCCCTTTCAATAGCAGCCAAAGTTGCTATTTTTCCGGAGTCACAAAGCAGAGCTGCTGATCTCAGAGGATGTCAGAGGAACCAGAAGGTTCTTTAGAAATTGGGTCCTCTCCCTGCTGTAGAGATGGGAAAATTGGGTTGGGCAAGGTGGCTCACGCCTGTAATCCCAGCATTCTGGGAGGCCAAGGCAGGGGATCACCTGAGGTCGGGAGTTCAAGACCAGCCTGGCTAACATGGTGAAACCCTGTCCTTACAAAAATTAGCTGGGGCACCTGTAATCTCAGCTACTCGGGAGGCTGAGGCAGGAGAATCACTTGAACCAGAGAGGTGGAGGTTGCAGTGAGCTGAGATCATGCCACTGCACTCCAGCCTGGGCAACAGAGCAAGGCTCCAAAAAGAAAAAGAGAGATGGGAAAACTGAGGACTAGAGAGGAGAGGGCCAGCCTAATGCCAGTGGTTGAACCCAGGTCTCCTGATCCACATCAAGATTATTCCCAGAAGGGCAAGCATGGTTCTTAATGGATAGTCAGCAACCCAGAGCACTTACTATGCATCTACTGTGGGCCAGGCCCATGGCTGGGGACTGAGAAATGACCAGAACACAGTCCCTTCCCTTGGCAATCACACACAGCTAATGGACAACCACATTGGTAGGGAGGCAAGATCTGAGCTAAGTGTTCATGGTGGCGAAAAGGTAGTGCTGGTGCATTGGAAAGCTATAAATGGAGAAGTTGCTGGGCATGGTGGCCACTTATTGGCTTTGGGGCTGAGGGAGAGGCTGTGGAGGCTTGTGAGATTTCAGCTGGTGACTGGCTGCCTATTTAGAAGAGTGGGTTCCTGCCCCCTTCCCTACCCTCACCTTCCAATGGAGTTCATGACCCAGTTGATCCCAACTATGGGATCATACATCCATGAGCTGCATAGCCTTCGATGGGCTGAGACTCAAATATCCCCAAGTCATGTCACCTCTTACCTTAAGCAAAGGATCGTGACTCGGGGCCCTCCATGAGGCTGCCTCCATCCTGGGCCCAGTGCTGGGGTCTGCAGACTTGGGTAAGAACCAGACAGTCATTATCACTTAAGGCTTTGCTCTTTTAGTCCTTCCCCATTGTCCAGAATTGGGCATCTAGCCTGGAGTTTGAATACACTTGGTCAAGCAGGGCCTTGGCACCAGGAATGAAACCTGGGCTCTTTCCTGAAGACGGATGTTGCAGATTGGAGGCCTGGAGGCTGAAGGTGGCCATTAGGCATATTTATGTGGCCACTGCAGTACACAAGCTTTTTCTTGAATGTGAATTTTTTTCAGTGGGGCTACATTTTCCAGGTTGCCAATGTTTCTGCCACACTGATGTCCTTATACATACTTGCTGCTTCAACACAACTTCTTCCTTAGCATTAGTTTCTGTTGCCTGCAACCCAAGTATTGTAAAAAATCCTGATGAATACAGAGAGGGAAGCTGAGGTTTAAAGAGGGTAAGTGATACACCCCAAATCACACAAGCAGTAAGTGCTACATGTGAACCCCAGTCCTTCCTTATCTCCTCCCCTCATTCCACACATCCTCAGCAACTTCTCCTTTCTCTACTGTCACAGATTCAGTCCCCCCACCACCTGGTCATCTTCTCAAAAGCATCCCTCATGTGGCAGGCGCTGTAAAAACACTAAGCAAATTGCTTGATCCCTGGCATGAACTTATTTAAACTAACCAGAGGATTCAACAGGAGATTTATTTTTGGTGGAAAACCATGGGTCAGTGACTTCCAGCTTAAGGTGACCCCCTGATCCTGCGTGTTTATCTCCCCTCCCTTCTCAGATTCCACAGAGTCATAGTAGAGAATATAAATGCATAAACTCACTGCAAATGAAGAGGATGGTAGGGGAACTGCAGGGACTAGAGATTTCTACGTGATTCTGGAAGAAAGAGAGTGGAGGTGGGAACCAAGGAAAGAACAATGGTAGGAATTTCCTGTTCTGCAGAACGGGCAGGAATTTGCTACTTGGAAATGCCGGGTAGGAAAGTCATAGGAATGAAGTGTATGAGACTCGAAACGGGCTGAGGAGGTGTGGTGCCCATGGTCTCTATCTGAAGAATCTCAGCTTTCCATGCTCACGGGTAGAGAGAGGGGTGAGCACACTGGCCAGCCTCTACAGGTATGTGTCTTAGAAAGAAAGAAGTTGAATTCTCTCTCTAAAGGTGATGCTGGTATAGGAAAAGGAGGAGGGAAGCATGTGAAGAACCGACCAGGAGCCCCCAACCTGCACCTCCTTGTCCCTTCTCCAGACCAGGAATCACACTTGGGACTAGCTCACATTCCCGAGGTAGAACAATTGATGCCTCCAACTTTCCTCTTATCCCTTTCCACAACTCCCAGTTTGTCTGCATGGGCATTGGATGTGGCCTGGGACTGACCGCCCTTCCAGCATTAAGGGAAGAGCATGTGATTTAGGCTCAGCCAATCAGCACATCAAGGGAAGGGCATGTGATTTTGGCTCAGCCAATCAGCACAATAATGATTGGCTCTGGGTATGCATGCCATCGCAGTAGAGTGAGTTCTGGAGAGTGAATCCTGTGCTCTTTGCTTGGAAGCTGGATGTGAAGTTGAGGGGTGCATCCTAGCACTGCTCAGCCACTTGTTACTAGGAAAGAAGCCAGCTTGAAGCTGACCCACCAAGGATTGTGGAGCTGAGAGAAACAAAGTTGGTGCCCTGGTGACAAAGTGAGCATCCGAATCAACCCGTGCCTAGAGTTTGAGTCCACTCCCAGGTATTTCAGTTCTGTGAGCCACGTGCTCAACTTCACCATTCTTGTCCGTTAGTCGTGTGTCTGTTACTTGCAACTGAAAGCGTTCTAGCTCTTTCAGTTTCCTTCTCAACAACAGCATTCCTCTGGAGCAGGTTTGCATGGAGGAGAGACTGGGGTTGGAGAGGCCTCTTTTAATTGAAATATTAAGACCATAAATCCTTTTTTCCTTACCAGAAAACTACGACATAAGAAGAGTTTTTGTCAAGGTACTAGAGGATGTCAGATAACATACCACACTGAAGGGCAGAGACCAAAGAGTGTCTGTTGACCGTTATCTTATATATTTACTTCTTAGATATTTGTCCCCAAGGTTAGACTCAGAGCTTCTTGAGGGCAGGAACTGTGCCTCCCTTATTTTGGTTTTCTCAGAGTACGGTGCAAAGCATGGCATAGAATTAGTTGGTGTCTAGTACATGCCAAATGAATGAATTTATTCCCAGTCCGTGAGGTAGAGATTACAGTATTCCCCCTGCCCCACCACCGCCCGGTTTTACAAGTGAGAACACTGAGGCTTGGAGAGGCTATGAGTCTCGTGCAAGGTTGGTCACCCATCTGGTAAACCAAAGTCTTGTGCTAACTGAAAGTTTTGAGATTCCACAATGCCTTTTTGCCCTTGTCTCTTACCTTCCTGAAAATTACCAATCTCTTTTCCAAGGAAAAAGCTACATATAAAAATTGCTTTAAAATCATGCACAACAAATTTGATGTGATTTCATAGTCATTATCCTGAGGTTTCAAAGTTAAAGATGCCAATCTTTTAGCAAAGAATAGACTTGTCTTGCTGGAACCTTCCAGAGACATAAGCAAGCATTAGAGTGACATCAAGTGGTGAAGTCCTACCACTTCCACATGGCAAGAGTCCTGTTTTCCTCACTGTCCAGGTGGTGTGATCTCTCTCCTCAAATGTTTGTTACCAAGTTTGCTCTAAGATTTATTTGCCCAAGGTCTTTTTATTTATTTATTTTTTGAGATGGAGTTTTGCTCTTGTCACCCAGGCTGGAGTGCAACAGTATAGTCTTGTCTCATGCAACCTCCACCTCCCGGCTTCAAGCAATTCTCCTACCTCAGCCTCCCAAGTAGCTGGGATTACAGGTGCCTGCCACCATACATGGCTAATTTTTGCCTTTTAGAAGAGAAGGAGTTTCACCATTTTGGCCAGGCTGGTCTTGAACTCTTGACCTCAGGTGATTCGCCCACCTTGGCTTCCCAAAGTGCTGGGATTACAGGCATGAGCCGCCATGCCAGGCCCCAAGGTGTTTTTAAGAAATTAACTTTAAAACCTTGGGCACTGTGATTCATGCCTGTAGTCCCAGCCATATGGAACTATAAGTTCAATTAAACCTCTTTCTTATGTAGATTGTCTAGTCTTGGGTATGTCTTTAGCAGCACATGAAAACTGACTAGTAAAGTAAATTGGTACTAATAGAGTGGGGGATTGCTGAAAAGATACCCGAAAATGTGGAAGCAACTTTGGAACTCAGGAACAGGCAGAGATTTGAACACTTTGAAGGAGTTAGAAGAAGACAGGAAAATGTGAGAAAGTTTGGAACTTCCTAGAGACTTGTTACAAATGTCGGTAACAACTTTGCTCGTAATAGCCAAAACTAGACACAACTCAGGTATCTTTCAATGGGTGAGTGGATTCAAACCATGGACTACTACTCAGTAATAGAAAATAACAAAGTAGATGTTATTTCTCTTTGA